AAAAAAAAAAAAAAAAAAAGAAATTATCCTCACCTAATGTGTAATGCAATCAATTACTCCTTAATTCATGAAAGTAAGATTTTTTTTTTTTCCAATACTTATTTTCTTCTTAGAATTGGCTTTGGAACAATAGTAACTAAAAATGCAATACATTTCTAAAATAAATCTAAAATGTCATATCTTATTTTCTGTTCACGTACCTCTACTCTTAAAGTTGCCTACAGTAGCTTCACTTTTAAATAATAACACTAAAACATACTTTTAGAAACTCTTTTTCACATTTCTGTAGCCTTGTTTGCCTAGAATAACTATCATAGAATATATAACAGTAGATTTATTTAATGTATCTCTAGAATACCTATACCAAAATTCATTGATTATTCTGGCAAATAATGACTAATTACAGATACAGTATCCATACATGGAACTGTTCTGGAAAAGCTTGGTTTATCTATTCAACCTCTCTATAAATAAAACCCTTCGTGGTAATCACTGAGGACTAGAAATATTTTCAGAAGTTGCTATAAAAGAATAACTAACTGCTAAATGAATCTTCCCAGTGCCTGTTCAAAGGATGACTCATCTGCTCCAATATACTTGTGGGAATGACAGTCAACATTCTTTGACTTGGACGTCTCACATACCTTTTCAGATAAAGAATTTAAAGTCATCTCCTTTAAAAAAAAAAAAATCAAAAATAAGAAAAAAGGACATTTTCAAGAAACCAGTAATCTTGGTGATAATACATTCCATGAATAAGGATGTAAAAAAAAAAAATCTTCTCTTTACCAAAGATTTTTTTAAAAAGCACATAATAGAAACATTAAATCTCCAGGAACATTAACCAGATTACCAAGCAGTCCAGGGACACTGAAGACAGCAGCTGGTCTCAGCTGGATGTGACCCTGAACAATCTCATCTGACTTTGAAGTCGACCCTGCTATGAGCAGAGGGTGGACACAAACGGCCTCCGGACATCCCTTCTAAGATGCTTATAATTATCACTAATAACAATCACTAGTGATAATACCTAACTGGTAATCTTCAGGCACTGTAAATATGCTCTTTATTGTTTTGGGTGGCCATTAAGAAACTTGGCTCAATGTAATCTAATTTAAAAGGTCAAGGAATTTTTAATTATTTTGCAGTAAGTCACAACCTCCATTTTAAGTAAGTTTGCTAATATGAGCACAGATCTATAGCATTTATAGCATTACTAAGAGATATGTAACACCAATGTTTTTCTGTCGTACAAGTAATTATTTAGTCAAGAGATTACTTGGGGAAATCATCATCAGAATAAGATTATATATGAAATATTACTGATTATATGAATCAGATTGTATAAAATATCTGACTTCCTATATAGGACCTACAGTTTATTAAATGACAGATATTCCAGAGGGTTAGTCCTAAGGCATTACAAAGCTTTGATGCTACTACTTTTACTTCTGGTAATACCTAGGTCATTTCAATTAAAGACCATTATGCATGCCCCACAGTATTCAACAACAGAAGTAGGATATTGGAAACTACAGTCTGAAATATTACAGGTTTTCAGCAACAACCCTGATGTTGCTCAATGGCTGAAAGAGAAAAAGGCTCAGGGGACAACAGGACAATGTAGTCAAACATTGCTTTTCCTTTTTTAGCTTCTAATTTTTCTATGTATTCTCTAACCTTTATTCCATTTTAAAGCTTCAGGTCAAGCCTAAGTGTTCCTAAACCTACCAAAATTTTAACAGTGAATTAACTGTGCAAGTAATTTGTCTGTGTGTGCTTGAATCTTCTTTACTATAACCAGTCAGTCAGTGTTTCAGGAGGAGGAAGAAGGTGGTCTGTCAGGTTCATGGAATTAGTCTTTCAGTGGGCTAGGGTTACCATGCCACCTCAGTAACTATGGCCTTTAGATACCTTTTGTCATACACTCTGACTATTGTGTTTGCACTTCCTATGTGTGTGAATTGGTGGATCTGACCAGTGGAAGCAGGTTATTTTTAATGAATACATAGACTGTTTGAGAATCTACCAAACTGATTCAGTTTTTCTTTCTTCCATTTTCTTGATTGATAAGGAAATAACACAAAAATGCAAGAATATGATATAACAATGTAATTATATCACAACTTGACTGATTCAATTGCAGAAGACTACCTAACAGTAAATGGCACAGGGCAGGCCATCATCCTTTCCTTGACTTGTTCTCTATGGGGGAGGACTTTTGGGACAGCCATCCCCACCCAGCCAGTTTCGCTTCACCCTTGACAAATGGGCCAGAAGATACTGTGGGATTCCTCTTCCACATCAGATGTTTGAAGCCCCAGTCTTTTTGTCGTAGCTTCCCTGAAGGTCTTCCACTAAGATGGAAATAATAGTGAAGCGCACCTTCTTCAAAAAGACATGTAAGCCTAGATCCTTGATGCTAACCAAGTTGTGACAACTGCAATCTACTCACTACCCAGCTGAATTCCTTGTTGGTAGAAATCAAGAAATAGTGCTCTCCCACAAATATCACCACCATGTAGGTGATGTGTCCATTAAGAAAAATTTTGTTCAACTCAGAAAGGACACAACCACTGCAGTACTTACAGAAGATGATAAAAATGTGGTCCAAATCTGATGTTCAGAGCTAGGAAGGTGGGAAATGAGAAAAAACTATAACAGAACATAAAGAGAATGTAAATACTGTTTCCCAGATCGGGACCCAAATAAAAGTTTCCTTTCCTCCTGCCACAACCCCATCCCCTTCACTTACTCTGTTTCAACACCCATTCTTCTAAGGGTTATCACTCCCCACTACCCCAGACCCAAAACAGATTGACCAAAGAAAATGAAGCTCTAAAGAGACACAGCTAATTCTTCCACTGAAAGACAAAAGGGCTTTTAAGAAATGTAGACATTTGATGGTTTTATCAAAAAAAAAAAGTAAAATATATCAGCAGAGGTGGTAGGAAATAGATAAACCACACAAAAGTGTGAGAGCAAAAGAAAAAGCTCACTCTACTGGTAAATACATTTCTTCTGATAATAGAAATATAATTCACTCAAAAGGCCCTAAAACAGGATGTTACGGTAAGATATGTGTCTTTAGTACGAAATCCGTTTTCTTCTGATATTGTCATTTTATCTCTGTAGACCAGATTTAACAGAATCTGTTCCTGTTTTGTTCCTGATGTTAGAACCATCTGTATTGGTCTAGGATATCTTCTTAGCACAAAAAAATTATATTGTAAACCACAGAAGATAAATTGTTATGCACAGTATTTTATGTCCATTTGGTGTTTTGGGAATCATCAATTGCTTGTTTTCTTGTTCACTGTGGAGTCATGTATTGTTCAAGTGCAACCTAGACTAGTCCAGTAATGGATGTTTGTAATCTATGTCTTTGTCCATATGCTTGCCTGTTTAGAACAATATCACAGATGTAAATAACAAAACCTGATTTTTCCTGGTGCATGCAGATCCTCCAAAGTTTGATAGGATATGGCCGAATATTTCTTCCCTTGAGGTTTCTAAACCAAACCAAGGTAGGATGCTGTAAAATTCCTAGTGGTCTAAAGTTACTGAAGTTTCTTTCAAGGAGTGTCACATGGTGGCAAAACTAATAACAATGAAAATCCAGCTCATTTTTCTTCTGATGCTAAGTAATGCTATTCTGTGAGAAAATAACCATAAAATGAACCTTACCTGAAAAGGGGGTCTTTCAACTGTCAGGTTGCGTACATTACTGAAAAAGTCTGGAAAAGTAGATGCACAGATTATAAGTACTGATATACCGAAAGCCCTACCTAATGTTGGACTTGTTTAGACAGCATAGACTATATTTTCATTAACTTTTGAGATTTTTGAGTGAGAAAGATTGTCATTGCCTACATCAAACCCATTTTTAATGTCTTGTTTCCACTTTGTTTTCCCAAGTGAGCCAAGAGGCATTCTCAGCTTGCATGACATCAACGATACAAGCAGGTTCTCTTCAGGACAGACTCATAGTTTTCTGCAATTTAAGTGCCACACAAAAAATTACTGAGACTGTGGCATGATGATTAGCATTGAAAGAGACAGAAAAACTTCTTAAGATTACTAATAAAAATAAGATTCTTTGTTATTTGAAGTTGTATTCAGCTGTACTTCACATTTCAAAAGTATTGTTCATTATAAAATATAATGTCCTTTTGTTCTTCTCATTTATGGCCCTTTGCTCCCCAAAAAAATCCTTGCAGAAATCTGGCATATGGCTTGCTTTGACTGTTCAAAGGTTGTCCATTCTGTGCTAAAACACGTACAGCTGGAGAGTAAAATTAATGAAAAAGTAATCTAGAAAATAGCTACTAAACTGAGTAAGATATATTGGGAATCTGTTGGAGAATTACGTTGGAAGGGCTGTAGTTAAACCCATTGATCACAGTGACTAAATCAAAACATAGGCACATACATATAAAATCTACCATGCTGTATGTGCAAGTTATGTGCCCAACAAAACAGAAATACTAATTGATCTGTGCCTTCTGTAAGGATTAGCAATGTACTTTAGTTTGCATTATTCACATATATTATAAATTAGATATCCCTGATGAAGTGATACTTAGCCTTCCAATAACTTCATCTAGCCCGTGTTGTATTTTCCAAGCTTTTGCATGTGTTCCTTAAACAAACAATCATACCCCAGGTTGATCTGTGCTCCTCTGATGTCTGTAAGGATGTTAAATCAAAACATTGCCAATGAAATTATATTCAGCATTTCTAATGGATTTCATAGCTTAATTATACTGCTTGTGATCTAAGACAACTTCATTGCAAAATACATCTCGAACAGCACAAAATTTTTTAGTGCTCCTTGCCTAAAAATAAGAGGTTTCGTAAATTTAGCTTTGACCTTTTGTTAGGGAGCACAAACCACAAAAACATACAAGCATTTCTATTCAATTTTTGTGTTTGCAGCATATTGTTACAGTGTTCAACATTTATTGTAGATTAAATACTTCAGTCAAGGATAGTGTATGAAGAGAATAATTACAGAAATTTGCCTATATTATTTTATTCTGTTTTCTTTATGCTATTAGGCCAGAATAAATATGCATATAAATTTAATAAAACTCTTTGCAGACCACTCTGATTACCATATAGTCATTGGTCATGGATTGGGAGAAATCATCAAATAACCTCTATCACAAAACTGCCAAAGTGTGTAGATGTGAATTATATTCCCTTTCTTTATATAGGATATTACAGTCCAAATGATTCAGTAGTTGCTAGCGTGTAACTCATTTTCCCTAACTTTCACTATTTCCTTACAAAACAATAACCAATGTTAAACCAAAAGTTAGAAGATAAAGAAGTTTTGGTCTTTTGTTCCTATATGATACCTTTTCTAATTTACTGTTCATTTTGTTACCTATCTAGTTGCTCCCAAATTATCTATGTCAACTGTTTCTTCTGTTCAAGTTGCAAACCACAAGAGAGGTAGGAATTCTTGGATTCATACAGTGAATTCCATAGTGCTCTGTGTTGTGAAAACATTGCACTGTATGAATCTGGAATATCTGTGAAGTGTACCCATAAGCTTACTGGTGAGGCATCTTCATTGATAACACCAGAAGCATTAAGTCACATAAGCATAAGCCATACAAAGAAAATAAATATGCTGCTTAGAGAGTCGCTGCTGGCATATAAAGTGACATGGCATTTGTTTCTAAAGGAGTCAAATGTATGAATATGACCATTCAGATTGTTGCCTAGAAAGCAAATGTTTGCTAGAGCCTTGTTTTCCTCACTGATATGTGTAAATTGTAAAAGAGGATACATAAGCAGATTAGTTGAGGGCAAACAATACATAAAACATCAATTGTCCGTATCCTCAAGAAGTATCTGTAAATGCCATGGAGTGTAATGCATAGTTATGTCTTCCAAATGCATTGTAAGTGTGCCTTACATCTTCGTTTTATTGTAACAGCGTGCAAAATCAGAGCGTAGGGATTAAATTTTGAACTGATGTTTCAGTGGTTTATCAAAATAATGGAATTATATGGGCATAATGAAGGATGCCAATATTCCCTCTGACTTACAGGCAACCTGTTTCATCTATCATTCAGTCAAAACCCTGAGTTCTCATCATTGTTTTTCCTCATCAATCTGTAAAGAGTATGTATAAAGATGTTTTGTCTTTCTGTAGCTACTGTGAATATCTCATTATTCATGAAATACTTATTAACAAGGAATAGGGATATTAACAAATGTTTGAACTTAGTTTGACCCATTTGATGAGATCATGACAACCATCCGTACTGTTTGTTATGAAGTAGGTCATTTCTAAGGTTACAATGAAGTCTCCTTTGTTTGCCTTTTGTTAGTATATAGGAGAGGAACATAGTGTTACTGAAAATGAAAAAATATTGTAATGATTTTTGAGTACACTTTTCTTGAAATACTCTTTGTGCTTTTAATTAGAAAATGATACTGATAGCTGTCTCATGCATTACCTGTCTTAGTTTAAAAATTATGCTTCCCTTCCATGTGTGTTGACCATTGTTTCTGTGATGAAGTTTCCTGTTTTATTGGTCATAGCTGAAGCTTCAGCTGAACCTCATCCCCACAGCACAATAGTATGTCATCTCAAAGATGTAAATGCTTAGTATTATAGTAGAGAAAAAAAGTATTCGATTTATAGAAACAAAACAATTACACGATCAACCTCTTTATGAGTCTCTTTCAATTAGTAATTTTATCATGCTTTCTACAACAGGATCAAGATTGTTGCAATAGCATCATTGCATAGGAAATAGTCTTTAAAGGCTCATACAGTCCATCTTTCTGTGAGTTGACAATTCCTGAAGCATCCAAAGACAATTATCAAATCTAACATGGCTATTTCTTCTCCCTTTGTTCCTTCACATTAAACCTATCTAGCTATCTTTACCTCTCCTCTGAGGTTTTATTTTCCAAACCATTGACTCCTTATTGTTATTCAGTTTAAAACTGTTTCCAGTTTATTTGTGTCTTTTCTGACATGTGGTACTCAGAACTGAAAGCAGCATTTTCTAGCAATGTAAGCTTGTGTCATTTCATTGTTGGTAAACCATTTGCAGCCTGTTTTTAATACTTTTCCCCCATCTCTTTCAATGATTGCATGGCATTCCCAGTGCATGAAAGTGGTTGAGCTGCTAGCCAGAGACATGTGCCTAAAAACCTTAAGCTCTGCTTATTCTAATAAGCAAGTTACTTTCTGATCTTGGTGTGCTGGTTAAAGTGAATCACATGATAAGCTAGCAAGGCCATACAGCATTCACAAGTATTATCTTCCCAGCTGGCATGATGCTGAATGCAATTCTACATGGTGTGTTTGACTGGTATCATCTCATGTAGCCAGTGGAGAAAATAATTCAATCGTATGAGGACCCTTCATATAGTTTTTTTTGTAAACACAGAGGGATATGTAAAAACGATTCACTGATCAGGCCAACTGCAGTAAGCAGAATAAGTTCATATTATTGCACTAGCAAAATGGGAGGGAAGGCAGGGGGGAATCAAAAATTAGCAAAAAACATTTTTTAAAAATTAAATACATTTAATTAAATGCATTTAATCATTACTTGCCATGCCTTTTTTCTTCCACTGCACCATTGCTAATCTTTGATCAGATGTTAGACTAGTTTTAAGTTAACAGGGGTTTTTCCTACGCCATGTAGCATTTATCAGTCTGATGATCAAGATTCCTAGAGCTTTCTTGTATCTTAGTTAACTTTGAGACAAAGGCTTTCTTTCATACAGCACAGTTGTTACAAAAGAGCAGTATCTACAGGAACACAACCAAGTATAAGAATTAATCTTACTGTGTACCTTTAATATTGATGAGCCACCTCTGCACTTGGGTAGTCTTTCTACTTATATTTAGTAGCATGTGTGTACATCAAACTAAGTCTGTAATAATTATCAGATGTTTCTTCAGTCCAAATCATAACTTGGAGGAAGCCTTGTTACAGAACAAATTACTTTATATGCAGCTTTGTTTCTTGTGTTTTTTAAATGGCTAATTATGTGTAGCAGTAATATTATTGAAGGTTATATCACAATTTCAAAGTGGAACTATTGCAGTCATTCATTCACAAAATATTCTCAATTTCTTTCTGCTAATTTTAACAAAAAAATATGTAGCACAGTCTGATTTAACAGCACTTTATAGTCTGCATATTTGTGAAACATAAAATATAGTATTCTGCTGGCTGTTAGCCATTCGAAAAACAAGGTAAATTATGTCCTCTAAATTCATGTACAGTATGATTATGTTTAGCCACAAGTCTGGCAAATATACCAGTATGGTATTGTCTCACCAAAACAAATTGTCTATTGCTAGCAGAAGACATGTACTTTGTCAGACAGAGAGACTAATACAACATTGCTTCTGAATTTGAGATTCAAAAAGAACAGATTACTTAATCACTAACCAATCTGTCTTATTTTAAAAATCAAAACACATAAAAACTTATAACCATTTTCCCTGTGACTCCTGTTTGCTAGTGCTAATTTCCACTTTCAGATTTGTTGCCTCTGCCCCACACAGGCAGTTTTCGCTTGAGCAAGATGGATATACTAGGGGAGAAGTGCTGCTGGGTGGCTGGCTGACACTGAATCACACTGACCAGCTGCAAAAGACAGCAAACATTAACACTTCTTTCCTCCCCACTCAATTATGTCAAGTGGTAACATCCTGAGACTAATACACCAAATGTTTTACTGTACTCCAGCAATTATAGCCATCAAAATTAGCAGATTGGCGTGAACCACAAGACATTGGTTTAGCAGTGTAACACGGAAAAGAACAAGAATGCATATATGTTAATTAAATGTGTATATGTAAATTGAATGAATGTTTCCTGGCAGCCGAAAGGCAGATCTCAAGATTGAAACATATGTTGTGCTGTGTTGTACAGTATAAGAAAAGATTCGATCTATTTACAGTCCACTACATCAGACAACAGCTAAAGAAATACATGTGTATTAGGTGTGCATAACATGGTCATAAACATGTACCAATATTGTTATTTTTCTATAAACATACAGACCGGCACAAATATTGTATCTGCCAACAATCAGGGGGTTTATTAGGTGCCCCAGCATAATCAGCAACATACCACAGGAAAGGCAGCACATGCCACTTAGCCCCTGTCATGTACAAAAACATTTTACAACCTCTGCTACAGCTTCATCTAATCACAGGCTAAGTTAACATTGAAGCCCTTTCAAGTCACTGCATCCAGTACTCCATTACTGCAGGAAACATACTGTAATGTTTCTCACCAGTTAATAAACTATATCTCTAAAGCATCAGTGTTTTTGCTACAAATTGGAAAAGTGTTCAAGAACCTCAGTGCCCTAATGGCTAGATACCATCTCCTAATTTCCAGTTGAAATTTCTCAATGGCCTGTTAACACGCATTTGTTCTTGTGCCAGTGTTGTCCATTAGCGTACTCGCTTAGGATAGGAAAAGGCTATCTCCTTGATGTATTTATAGTCCAGTGATATCCCCTGTCTTCAGTTTCCTAGACTAAACAAGCCAAATTATCCTTGTCTTCACTTTTTAAATAGGCTCTCTACTTTTCTGATCATCTCAGTAACCTTTTCTGCATTCATTCTGGGCTCAGTCTCAGAGTTGAGTGATCAGACTTCCACAAGCTTTCTACACAAAACATAGCTGTGTCTTCTGTAATGATATTGATACATTTCTAATTTGTCCTTCTTTCTGCATAAAACCAAGCACTGCTTGTGATTAAACACTAAAAGGCACTAGCATTCTATGTTTAATGAAGGGGCTTTTAAAAAGCGGCTATCATGCCAGCTGCATTTCAGCTGGCTGCAGTAAGCATGCTTTCCATTCAGTACACGTCTCAGAATTCTCATGATATTTTCTGGCCTAATTGTTTCTCATCTCAGAATATAAAAATGGGTTAATGCTTACCACCGAAGTAAGTAGCTCTTACATAACACCTCCCTTCCTTTTCTTCTCTTAATCATTTTAGGAGGTGCTGGCCAAAATTGTCAAACTAGAGGTTTGTTTGGTCTTGAAATAAAAGAGCCTGGTTCCCAAGGTGCCTACCAGTTACAGTACCCTGAGCTCAGTAGTATTTTTGAATACACACCATTTATGTTAGAACAAAGCTTTTATTTTACTCACAGTTGTGGGCTTAAGCATGATGAAGTTTGACAATTTTGTCCACTGTATTTAATGCTTTTAATATGAGAAAGTTTTTCGTGGGTCTTGGTTTGTACTCATCTCAAATGTGCAAAAAAGATGTGCACTTCTGTCAGTGGAAACTGAGCCTCCAGTACCCCTGAAAGGTTTACAACTGCAAATGCTTCAGTTCCATCAGGTCTGCCAACAACAGCCAACTTTCGACATCATGCCATGGTTGTCGGGTCACGCTAACCTGCCTGAAACAAACTTCACTTTCATTGCAGATAAACATCT